ATATAAAAAATATTTAATAATTGATATAAAAATAAAATATTTTTTTAAAACTCTACCACAAATTACCTTTTATTATGAGTTTTTTTTTAATAAAAGAAAATCTAATTAGACAAGGATATATATATATATATATATATATATATATATATATATATATAAAGAAAATAAATAATTTATATAAAATTCTATCACAAATTACTTATTTTTATTTTTAATGAAACTCTATCACATTAGAAAAGAATATATTTAAAGAGTTTCTATAAAACTGTAACACAAATTACCTAAACTCTATCACAAATTAATTATTATTTTTTTTTAAAAAAACTCTATTACATATAACCTGTATTTATCTATTTATTATGAGTTTATTATTAAAAGGAAATCTAATTAGAAAATGATATATTTAAAGAAAATAAAAATAATTTCTATAAAACTCTATCACAAATTACCTATTTTATTTTCAATAAAACTCTATCACACTATAAATATTTCAGTATTAATATAAAAACTTAAAATAATTTATTACTTTACAAAACTTAAACTCTACCACCAATTTCAAAATATTTCAGTATTTATTTATTAATATAAAAAAATATTTATTAATTAATATAAAAAGAGTTACAAAAAATTATTGTTCCAAGTTACAAATGAACAATTAGAAAAAAAAAAAAATATGAAAACAAAAATTCAAGTTACAAAACATTCACCACGTGCATCGCAAGTGCCTTTTCATAGTTTATATATATATATATAATTACCCAAAAAAATTATTTATATTGTATTTTTACTAATCAATCGAAATTTCCTGATTTCAATTTATTATAAAAATATAAATAAATAAACCGTTATTGTCCCCATTGATAGTGTGTATCCTGGCCCGACTAGACCTAAATTGTGTCTAATAGGTGAAATATATATATATATATATATATATATATATATATATATATATATATAGTTTTCTCTCTTATAGGTTTAGAGTTCGGAATAAAACAATTTGCTCAAGGATTACTGGGTATCGCATCGTTTGTGCTGCTCAATAACACATTTCTCGCTGTTTTTGATTCTCGACGTCTCTCACGGATTCATTGAGGTGCCATCACGGATTCATTGAGGTGCATCATCTCTCTCTCTCTCTCTCTCTATACATATATATATCTCATTTGCTCTTTCTTGATTGTGCAATGTTGAGAATTTCAGTTCTTTCGACTATTGCGCATTCACATGCTTCTACTAGTTGTTTTCTTATTTACAATTTCTCCAGAATCATAACTTCACCAACATCTACATATCAATTTCCAAGTTTTGCAATCTTACAATTTTCATTTCATTACCACCATCGTCCAACACCATCATCACTTATATTTAGTCTTCGTCTTTGGAATATCAATTTGCCTTTTGCTTTTTGTTCTTGTTCGAATTTAGTTATTAATTCCCCACTTACCAGGCATTAGATTAAACACCTGATAGTTGTACAGATGATGGCAATAAGCTCTACCAAACTATTATAGATCACTCCAGTCCTGAGCATAATATGGAGAGAGCATTTGACCAAGTTGGCATAAAACTGACCATTGCATTGCTCATGGAAGTCCTAGGGAGGCTTCATTTCCAGGAGAAATTAGCCTTTAGATTCTTTACTTGGGTAGGGCATCAAGAAATTTTTTTCTATCGAATCTCAGGTGTTTAATGAGATGATTGACATACTATCTAGTACGAAATACAAGGTTAAACAATTTCGGATTATTTGTGACCTTCTTGATTACATGAAGAGAAAAAACAAGGATTCGGTTCCTGTCGAAGTTCTGTTAACCATTTTGAGACAATACACCGAAAAACATCTTACCCATCTTCAGAAATTCACCAAGAAAAAAAAAATTAGGGTGAAGACGTAGCCGGAGATCAATGCCTTTAACTTGCTTTTGGATGCTTTGTGTAAGTGCAGTCTTGTTGAGGATGTGGAAGCGATGTTCAAGAGGATAAAAAATAAGGTCAAACTGGATGCTAACACGTACAATATTTTGTTTTTTTGGGTGGTGTAAGGTCAGAAACCGAACCAGAGGTGTGATGGTACTTGAAGAGATGATCAAAATGGGTCATACAACCGACAATTTCACTTACAATATTGCCATTGATACCTACTGCAAAGCTGGGATGGTGACTGAGGCTACTGAACTGTTGGAGTTCATGTGAAAGAAAGGCTCAACCTTTTCTTCTCCCATTTTCAAAAACATATGCAATCATGATTGTGGCATTTGCCCAAAGTAGCAAAATGAAAGAATGCTTTAAACTTCTAGGGGACATGATAAAGAAATAAGTCAATTTAGCAACCTTTTGTTCAACCATTAATTTTGGACATCCACTTGGTTTCACCCAACCATTAATTTTGGATTTGTAACTAGTGACAGCTGTTTTATGAAAACGAATTAGTAACTAGGATCTCGTGGAGTTTGGACATCCTTCCCGCGAATCTCTTTATTGATGCACATTTTTTTTTATAGAGATTTGACATTGATTCGTGAGATTTTTAAAAGAAATGGCAATAATTTATTTATTTTTCATAATTGTACTACTGAAATTGAATTTAAAATATTATAGCAGAATTAATTTTGATATCAAATAGTATTTAATATTGAAAGTAGTGAACGAAATTTGTATTTTTATGAGAACTATTTTTTTTCCCCTCCGTTTAATGTTAAAAACTTAACCACTAAATTGTCCTCTTTTATATATTATAAATATACATCTATGATCTATTTTACGTTATGGATGTAGTCTATATTTTTATTCTATGATGGTGCATTATGATCTAAGTTATACATATAGGGAGTAAGTGAGAGTACATTATGATCGAAATCACAAATAATGGGAGTAAGTGTGAGTATGTATGAACATGCATAGGCCATGAAGTTGTCCCACTAATTTTTTTTTTTGTTTATAAAATTACCTATATTTTTTTAAAAAATATCCCTACTTTTTTATTAAAAAATTTAAGATTAATGCTCTACTTAAATTATAATGATACTCCATTATATATCACTCCCTCCGTCCCAATATAAGTGAGTAGTAATTTTTAAAGGGACATGTGGGACCATGTATTGTCTGCCTGAACAATTACTATGTTGCTTTTTTAAGTTTTAAATATTGAAGTTTGAAATTTAAACTCAAAGGACATTTTTGGAATGATGTGAAATATATTGTTTGAAAAAAGAAAGTGGACACTTATTTTGGGACGGACAAAAAAGGAAAGCATGGCACTTATTTTGGGACGAAGGGAGTATTGTTGTTCAAGACCGCCCTTCTCATATAATTTTTTGAATCCATTTTTTTGCATGCGAAACATGAGAGTGGAGGGCTTAGTCACATAGGGACAAGTTGCCCCCACTGAACTTTTAATTTTATATTGAATTTTTTTTATATTTGTATAATTGCTCCATCTAAAATTTAACACTGCACACACACACATATAACCAAAAGCCCATTCATTATTTTATAAAGGGAAGCGATATCTGCACTCTACTTTTCAACCTTTGCATTATAATCTTAAATGAAATTGACAATTCAAATCTTACATTTACAAATAAATAATTATTACTTTTTAAATAACACAACTGCCCTTTCATATTTTCTCTCCTTGTCTCTAATCTTTAACATTTTAAGTATCTTTTGACAACACAAATAAAATAAAATAAAATAGAATAATTTTTTTTAAGGGACCAAAAAAAATAAAATTTTGTTATGTTGAATAAATGGCCTCTTTTGGCCGGATAAAAAAATAAAAAGTAATCATTTAAAAAATTATCTCTTTTGACATGAAGAAAAAAAAAAAACCCAAAAAAATATATTTATTGAATAAATTATATTTGTCGTCAAGATCCCAAAAATTAGTAATAATAAAAAGTACAAAAGGAAGATGATTAAAAAAAATTAACTCTATTGAATAAATTATCTCTTTTGATAAGACCAAAAAAAAAAAAGAAAAGTTATTTTTATTGAATAAATTATTTTATTTGACCCGAACCCATAAAAAATTACCAAAAAATAAAGTTACTTCTTTTGACAAAATTGAAAAAAAGTCAATTTTGTTTAAAAAATATCTCTTTCGATTGTACAGGGAAAAAAAATAAAAAAAATCACCCTCTCACTACACTTGAAAGGATTAAAATTTTAAAGAAAAAACTGTCTTTATAAAATCTGAATTAGCAAAGAATTTCAATTACCAATAATATATCTCTTCGTCCAGCTATATTCCATAGTCAAACCATTCTTTATTTTATTTTCTCACTCTTTTCTCCATTACCATCACTTATTATTATTATTATTTTTATATATATATCTAAAGGAGGGGAAGAGTGTTTTGATAAAATTTTAAAAACAAAATTATTCTAGAAATTTATATATTATTATACATCTATCTAGAGAGATAGTGTTTTGATAAAATTTATAAAAGAAATTTAATGAGATTTTTAATTATAGTTATTTTTGAAACGATAATCTCACTTAAGTGACCCTAAAAAAGAGAGGATGGATACAAGAAGACAATAAAAAGGTAATTTTGTTTTTGAACATTCAAGTTATTTTAATGGACATGTTAGCTGGACCATTTGATTGTCATATTAATTTGTCTTTTTGTGCCACTTACATTCTGCCTAACAAAATCAGCATAATCTTTCTGTTTGAGTATTATGACTCTAACTTATAAGGTTAGTTATCTTCCTATTTTGCTTATTTTATTTTATTTTTAATATGAATGAATTTTTATTATGAGTAACTTGACAAAATAATTATTAAGAGAATAGTTGTCAATGTTTTACATATATTGTTTTAATAATAATTATTATATATATATATATATATATATATTATTGCTATTAAAGATTGACTTCACATAAAGAAATTTTTGACTTACCTCGTGCTAAGCCGAACAATAATTGTGTGACTTAAATATTTTTTCCTTCTAAAATATTTCTATTTATTTCGATAATTACTCCGTGAGTCCGAAAAAAAAGAAAAAAAAGAAAAGAAAAAAAAGAAAAGTAATTTTGAGAACTATGGTGATACGTTTTTTCTCTACTTTTAATGCAGTACCAAAAATGGATACGTGGCGGACAGCCCTTAGATATTTCCCATTCTCACTGTGCATTGTACTCTGTATCAATATATCTATAGTTTTCTCTCTCATAAGTTTGGACTACGGAATCAAACAATTTGCTTACTGAGTAACGCATCATCTTGCTGTTTTTGATTGTCGCCGTCGTCTCATCACGGATTCATTGAGGTGCCTCCTCTTTCTCTGTTCTCTCTCTATATTATTACTATTTTGTTGATTCCATCCAGATAAGGAGTCACAGAAATTGGGCAATTTAAAGTGAAATTCATAGGTTTTATTTTCCTTTCCATTCATTCGGATCTCTTCCGTTTCATCGTGTCTCGTGTCAAGGTCATCAACAAAACGACGGCCCAGTATAATTTCTGAACTGCGTCAAGAGTTAGTGATATTTTAATTCTACCCTAAGATTTTCAATTTTTGAGTTAAATTGTGGATCGAGCGTATCCATTTTTATTATATGTAGTGTATTTATTTTCTTGTATAGAATTTTCTTTATTTTGGAATTTTGTTGATTCAATTGGGCTATTTTGTTGATTCCCATCCAGATAAGGAGTCTCAGAAATTGGGCTATTTAAAGTGAAAGGTAGAAGGAATTCATTCGTTATATTTTCCTTTCCATTCATTCGGATCTCTTCCGTTTCATCGTGTCAGGGTCCTGGGAGGAGAAGATATTGGAGTTGCAAAGGTTATTTCGACGGCGTCTCTCTCATTTGCTCTTTCTTGATTGTGCAATGTCGCGAATTTCAGTTCTTTCGGCTATTGCGTATTCATATTCATATGCTTCTACTAGTCGATTTCTTATTTACAATTTCTCCAGAATCGTAACTTCACCAACATCTACATATCAATTTCCAAGTTTTGCAATCTTTCAATTTTCATTTAATCACCATCACCATCACCATCCAACACCATTATCACCTAGATTTGGTCCTCGTCTTTGGAAAATCAATTTGCCTTTTGGTTTTCGTTCTTGTTCAAATTTAGCTGTTAATTCCTTACTTTCCTCGCCTCCTTTGGAAGCTGAGGCATTAGATACAGATGATGGCAATAAGCTCTACGAAACTATTATAGATCACTCCAGTCCTGAGCATAATATGGAGGGAGCACTTGACCAAGTTGGCATAAAACTGACCACTGCATTGGTCATGGAAGTCCTCGGGAGGCTTCGTTTCCAGGAGAAATTAGCCTTTAGATTCTTTACTTGGGTGGGACATCAGGAATGTTTTTCTATTGAATCTCGGGTGTTTAATGAGATAATTGACATACTATCTAGTACGAAATACAAGGTTAAGCAATTTCGGATTGTTTGTGACCTTCTTGATTACATGAAGAGAAGAAAAAAAAATTCTGTTCCTGTCGAAGTTCTGTTAACCATTTTGAGACAATACACCGAAAAGCATCTGACCCATCTTCAGAAATTCGCCAAGAAGAAAAAAATAAGGGTGAAGACGCAGCCGGAGATCAATGCCTTTAACTTGCTCTTGGATGCTTTGTGCAAGTGCAGTCTTGTTGAGGATGCGGAAGCGATGTTTAAGAGGATTAAAAATAAGGTCAAACCGGATGCTAACACGTACAATATTTTGTTTTTTGGGTGGTGTAGGGTCAGAAACCCAGCCAGAGGGATGATGATACTTGAAGATATGATCAAAATGGGTCATACAACCGACAATTTCACTTACAATACTGCCATTGATACCTTCTGCAAAGCTGGGATGGTGACTGAGGCTGCTGAACTGTTGGAGTTCATGAGAAAGAAAGGCTCAACCTTTTCTTCTCCCACTTCAAAAACATATGCAATCATGATAGTGGCATTTGCCCAAAGCAACAAAATGGAAGAATGCTTTAAACTTCTAGGGGACATGATAGACAGTGGATGTCTCCCTGATGTTTCAACGTACAAGGATTTGATTGAAGGCTTGTATTTGGCCAGGGATGTTGATGCAGCTTACAAATTCTTGGAAGAGATGGGAAACAAAGGTTACCCTCCCGATATAGTTACTTACAACTGTTTTCTCAAGGTTCTTTGTGACAATAGAAACAGTGATGAAGCGCTTAGGCTTTATGGAAGAATGATTGAGGTGGGTTGTGTGCCCAGCGTGCATACTTTTAATATGCTAATTACAATGTTTTTTGAGATGAGTGATCCAGATGGGGCCTTTGAGACATGGAATGAGATGGATAAGAGGCGCTGTGCACGGGATACAAATAGTTATTGTGTGATGATTGAAGGACTTTTTGGTTCCAATAATACAAAGGATGCCTGTTTTCTTTTGGAAGAAGTTGTAAATAGGGGAATGAAATTGCCATATCGAAATTTTGACTCCTTCCTAATGCAGCTTTCTGCGATTGGTAATCTCCAAGCCATCCATAGGCTATCCGAGCATATGAGGAAATTCTACAATCCTGCTATGGCACGTCGTTTTGCAGTGAGTCAGAAGCGGAAGAGCACGAGCTTAAGAGGAAAGTAGTAGATGCAAAAGTAATAATTTTTGTTATATGTTCTGAAATGTTGAATGACAAGTGTCTCTAGCTCCCTGCTACACTATTTCTAGCTGTTTGAGAAATCTGAATGGGAACAAGAAATGAGGCCTTATTACCACAACTCTAGACCAATGCCTTGGTTGCAAATGATGCGTGATCTCTTGAACTTATATGGTATTTCCTCATGACTAGGTAACTCCCTAAATGATCCCATCATAATTTGGATAAAGCATTTGCAGTTGAATTTTAAACTTGATATTGATGAAGTGTATTCTCATTTGTATTTAGGAGGTGGAATGTCATCATAGAAGGAAGACCAATGCATGTTTTCTTGATTTTATGGCAGCACCTTCAAAAAGCTGCTACCTCTGTTTTGGTGCACTTGAATTTCTTTCATGTGTTTGGCCAGGTAGATAACGAGCATCCTTGATTTTTCTTTTTAAAATTTACTGTATATGAACTCACTTCTCACGTCTAATGCTCCACCTGTTCGTATATGATATTCAAGGTCTTTTTTGAGGGTGTTGATGTGCTATTATGGGACCATGAAAACTGATAGTGATGCAGCCTAAACTGTGGCTTGAATCTTGGATACTCTGTTCAATGCATGTGGCAACAGATATTTAGAGGGTTTCTTTTGTTACTGCTGATGTTATTTTGTTTTTCAGTTAAGAATAAAGATTTAGTTGATCTTCATTGTTATTTTGCTTTGAGCACTTTGAAATCTTATAGTGGATATCAAAAGTAGCATATTTTAGTCACTGTTTGTTACATATGACAATGAAGTGAAAGCAATGTTTCTACACGCTTTGAGGATAGGTGTTCGGTCACATGATAATTTTTTACAACTTCAAAACTCACTGTTTTTTGCATCCTATCGATAATATGAGGCCATTTGTTTGGTCAAATGAATCAATCTGATCGATCACATTGCTGAAGTGATCGGTCACGTCAGTTATGATTTGTCATTTTATAAAGCCATTTGATCGGTCACAGATGAGAAGAGAGGCTTTCCATTTGTCATCCATTTCTTGATGAATCCATGCCTAGTTCTTTATTGGTGCTCCTTTTTAACTGCATCTCAAATGGAAATATGTTAAAAGCACTTATTATCTTTGTTTGTTATCATCAAAATAGTAAGAGGTGAATTAAGGGCGCTTGTGCCAACAGTTGGCATGGCTTTTGGGTTCATTGAAGCTACTATTCCTAGTAGCTTTTGCAAAAAATTTGGTCAGTAGGCTTGTTGGAATGCTCTGAAATAATATAGTAGTCAACTAGGAAGCATGGACACGCCTAAAGGGCAAAGAATCCGTGTCGGACACGCCAAAAAATGTATCTAATTTTTTATTTTTTTTATTATTCAGACACAGCGCAGACCCGGCATGGACACTCCGTGTACATGCATCGGACACGACATGTATAAGTGTCCGAAACGCTTGTCCCATTTTTATTTTTTATTTTTTATTTTAAAGTAAAGCACTTAGGGATTTTAAGAAAAGTTTTAGAAAGAAAGCTAGGTTGAAGTGTAAATATAAGGAGTTGTTTAATAGCTTTCAATAATATGATGCTTATTACATAATTACTTAAAAGTTAACATTTTTTTTTTTTTTTTTGATAAGTAAGACAATATAATAGAACCCCTCAAAAGGCAATAGAACTACACAAGGCCAAAAAGGGCCTCCAAACTTTCAAAGAGTCCAAAAAATCAACAATCTCCTCTAAAGCTGTAATTTCTCCCTATAACCTAACAAAAAGAGTGGAGATAATAGAGAACTTAAGCATAGAAATAGGATTCTTTCTTTCGAAAGATCTCTTGTTCCTCTCAAGCCAAATATACCACCAGATACAGAAAGGTGTAACCCTCCAAGCATCCTAGACTTGGACCCTCACTGTACAACCTCTCCAAGCCTCAATTAACCCTTTGGAGGATTTGGACATGACCCACTGAACCCCAAACAAACCAAGCATCAAATCTCAACAGTCCCTAGCCATGGTGTAGTGCAAAAGGAGGTGATCCACCGTCTCCTCAGCACGAAGGCACATGCAACAACAGTTGACCCCGACCTGATTCCTTCTTCTCAAATTATCCTGTGTCAAAATCTTCCCTAAAACAGACGTCCAAGCAAAGAAGGCCACGATCAGCTTATATTTTAGTTCAAATGTTCAAACTCTTGCATGATCAGCTTTGACTCTCTCTTGTTGTCCCACCGACCAAGCTTTGCTCCCGGTGGATGGTCAATCTCTCTCTCTCTTCTTTTTCCTCTTCTTCTTTGTCTCCCTCTTTTCTTTCTTTGTTTCTTCTTCTTCTTCATCTTCACAAACCCTAGATACTTTTTTTTTTTTTTCCTTTCACAACAAAATCCTTTGTGTCTCTTTTTCCTTTTTTCCTCTTGTTTCCATGAACTTTTTCTCTTCTATGGGTTCTTCCTAACTAAGCCCTAATTCTTTTTCTAACAAACCCTAATCCTCTTTGTTTCTTTGTTTTCTTTTCTTTCTTAACCCTCTTTGTATCATTCTCTCTTTTTCCCGCCAAAGCACAATTTTTTTTCTTTCTTTCTTTTCACTATTAGTTTGATAAAAAAATAATATTACTCTTAATTTCTTAAAGTACAATATCATATATATATATTTATAAATATCTATTTATTCGCCGTGTCTCCGCTATTTCTGTATCCAATTTTTTTAGGATTTGTTGTGTCGCCGTGTTTGTGTCCGTGTCGTATCTGTGTCCGTGCTCCTTAGGTGGTCAAGTAATGAGTGGTTTTTTCTTTAATTTCAATACATTAAACGGAAACTGTGTTGTATTTGAGGTCAAGTTTTTTTTTTTTGGCTTCTTATCTACGGCTTCCACTTTGATCTTGCTTCTTCTTCCACTTCTTTGAACTCTCTTTTGGGTATGGGAGTAGGGGTATCACCTTCTATTGTTACAACTACTCTCTCCAAAGAGAGAGACTTCATTTTGGTTATCAATTTTAGACTACTTGCATTTTGCAAATACCTTTTATTTTTTTATTTTTTATATTATAAAAAAAATACACCACAGAAGTTTGTTAGTAAATTAGCAGAAATAATTTTACTTGGTGCCACTTGCGAGTTTTAAATTATTGTCTGTTGAAGTTTGTAATCCATCAAGGAACCTTCTTAAGGATGCAAGATGAAAATGTTCTACTCATAGTAGCTTATCAATTAAACATGTTCTGCTCATAGTTGCTAATGTTGAGTTTACTAATTTCAGGTTTTATGAAGGTGTTATTGATTCTGTTAAAAAGAAACATAAGGTAAGGGCATTGCATACTGATGCTAGTCCTTTCAAGTTCTAGTGTTCGTGCAGGCTTTGTAGCCTTTTGGGGTTACATAGAACTGATTTTACCTGACATTACTGCCATTATCAATCAGGTTTTATATATTGACGGTGATGAAGAAATAGTAATTCTTAAAGAGGAACGGTGGGAGTTTATTGGTGGTGATTCTGACTTTGTGGAAGATGGGATAGGTTATCAGTTGAATTTTTTATTTGTTTTTGTAACCTGTCTCATGTTTTTCTGTATTTATTTTATTCTGAGATATTTTTCTCCACAATTTTTCTTCCTTTACTTTGTCTAATGTTCTCTATATGTGGTGTATGTTTGACAGGAACAAGGAACTAAACTTCCAAGTCCTCTGCTGCTTCCTCCGATGACAAAGTACTTTTTCTATTAGCTTGTGAATTGTTCTTTTATGATTCTTTTCATACTCGAGCTCACCTTTTTTTTGCCCTCTCCTTGAATCCACTTTCTAAAACAATTCTTGTTATGAATTTTTATAGAAAGTTGTTTCTTCTCCGAGGTCTACAAGAAAGTTTGCTAAAGCTGAACGCCACTTTGAGGAAACCCCTAAGACGAATTCAAAGAGAAAGCGTACTCCACGAATTTACAAAGTAAGTAATTGCATTATGTATAATTCTGTTGAATGGTGGTGATTGCCTTGGATTGTATCCTCATTTTTATAGATATAATACAAAGACAAACTGTTTCCTACCAAATCTAGCTGATTATTGGCTTAAAATTGTTCTTGTATCCTTGTTTTTCTATTCCTATGTTAAATTGTCATTTCCCATTTTAAAGTATTTTTGTAGCAACAAAGTGATTGGGGTGGGGTCAATAGTATTTACTTTTTTGTCATGTATCTTTCACATTATCTTCTTGTTCATTCAGTTTACCGTTGGCCCACTAAAATATTTTCTCAACATTTTTCATGAAATTTTGCTTTTTGGATATTTCTTAAACATCTCAACTTGGCTCCGATATGTGCTGGTCTCAGGTTGAGCAGCCAGGCAGCCTGTCTGGCCCGTGGATTGTGAATTTGGGACATCGTGCCAAGTCATAGGTTACTCCCTGAAAACCTCCAAAATGCATGTTTTCTCCTATAACCTTTAGCTGTTGTCCGTGGTTGCAGAGTATTTCTCTGCTGCAGAACGTCCGGCAACTTATCTTCATTCAATTTTGTTTCTTCAATCTCTCTCAAGCTTCAAGGAATTAGAAGGGTTTAGATTTTTCTAGGTGGATTTGCCAAGTTATTGTTAGTTCATAGAAAAGAAATTATAAGGATTTCAGAACATGGTCCTTAACAAAATATTAGTGAAAATCATAAAAGCAGAATAGAATGTGAAAAAGGAGTCAGATAGAAGAGATTGAATAAACATAAGAGAAGTTCGCCAACAAGTTTGAACTTTATTAAAGCTTAACCCTGCTTGGTGTAATCAATCTTATACCAAGCACCGTAAGTGCTTGTTGAGCTTGAGTTGAGTAGCACGGTTTTGTGGTTGGCGGTTGTGGTGCCTGTACTTAAGGTTGCATTTAGGATGGTCACTGATCATTGTTAAATGTTTTGAGTTACATTTCATCTCTTGCCTAATTCCTCTCTCTATCTCTCTCATCAACTTCTATTCAATCGACTCTTCTTTCATGTCAGGCATCTGAGACACTAGAATTTGGTGAGAACCTGGTTGGTTCAAAGGTTAAAGTTTGGTGGCAGGGAGACCAAATGTAAGTACTTAGGCTCTATAGTTCTTCTTCTTCTTTCTTTTATTTTTTCAAGAAGTAGTGATGTGTTTTGCTCATGGAATGGGTGATGGTTATCCATTTTTGGTATTTTTATGTTTCAGTTACATGATACATTGTTTTCAGTTGTGCAACATTTGTCCTCTTTTAGTTGCTTCAATGTGTGGTTATGTTTAGTAATTGCAATATGTTCCCTACTCTATTATCTAATAATTCCACCTGCGCATCCCCTCTGTCATTGATTTCTGCACAGTGGTTAGAAGCCTTTTCTTGTTGTTGCTCTGAACTCTGCATCAATAAATGATTTGGATAATCTCAGTTAAATTTCAGCTTCTGCATTGGCTACCTGAAAAATGAAGATAATTTTACTACGACTTTAAATTATTGTCTGTTGAAGTTTGTAATCCATCAACGAAACTTCGCAAGGATGCAAGATGAAAATGTTCTACTCATAGTTGCTTATCAGTAAAACATGTTCTGCTCATAGTTGCTAATGTTGACTGTTGAGTTTACTAATTTCAGGTTTTATGAAGGTGTTATTGTTTCTTTTGATTCTGTTAAAAAGAAACATAAGGTAAGGGCGTTCCATACTGATGCTGGTCCTTTCAAGTTCTACTGTTCGTGCAGGCTTTGTAACCTTTTTTGGTTACATAGAGCCAATTTTTACCTGACATTACTGCCATTATCAATCAGGTTTGATATATTGACGGTGATGAAGAAATAGTAATCTTACAGAGGAACGGTGGCAGTTTATCGGTGGTGATTCTGACTCTGTGGAAGATGGGGTAGGTTATCCGTTAATATATATATATATATATATATATTTGGTTGTTGTAACCTCTATCTCATGATTTTCTATATTTATTTTATCCTGATATATTTTTCTCCTCAATTTTCCTACCGTTACTTTGTCTAGTGTAAATATATATGTGGTGTTTGTTTGACAGGAACAAGGAACAGAACTTCTGAATCCTGCTTCCTCTGATGACAAAGTACTTTTTCTATTAGCTTGTGAATTGTTCTTTTATGATTCTTTTGATGTTTGAGCTCACCTTTTTTTTTTTTTTTTTTTTTTTTTTTTTTCTCCTTGAATCCACTTTCTAAAATAATTCTTGTTATGAATTTTTATAGAAAACTGTTTCTTCTCCGAGGTCTAAAAAAAGTTTGCTAAAGCTGAAGCCCACTTTGAGGAAATCCCCAAGACAACGAATTCAAAGAGAAAGCGTACTCTACGAATTTACAAAGTAATGAATGGTGATAATTGTGTTGGATTGTATCCTCATTTTTTTTAGATATAAGACAAGGACAAACTGTTCCTAGCAAATCTAGCTGATTACCGGCTTAAAATTGTTCTTGTTTCCTTGTTTCCTTGTTTTTCTGTTCCTATGTTAAATTTTCAGTACCCACATTTAAGTGTTTTTGAAGCAACAAAGTGATTTTGGTGGGGTCAAAAGTATTTGCATTTTTGCATGTATCTTTCACATTATCTTGCTTGTTCATTCTGTTTACCATTGGCCTACTAAAATATTTTCTCAACACTCTTGATGAAATTTTGCTTTTTGGATATTCTTCAAACATCTCAACTTGGCTCCGATATGTGCTGGTTTCAGGTTGACCTGCCAGGCAACCTGTCCTGGCTGGCTGATTGTGAATTTGTGACACAGTGCCATGTCATGGGTTACTCTCCGAAAACCTCCAAAATTTATGTTTTCTCCTATAACCTTTAGCTGTTGCCTCTGGTTGCAGAGTATTTCTCTACTGCAGAACGTCCGGCAACTTCTCTTCGTTCAATTTTTTTTTCTTCTCTCTCTCTCGAGCTTCTAGGAATTAGGAGGGTTTAGATTTTTCAAGGTGGATTTGCCAAGTATTTTAAGTTCATAGTAAAGAAAGGATAAGGATTTCAGAACATGGTCCTTAACAAAATATTAGTGAAAATGATAAAAGCAGAGTAGAAAGTGAAAAGGGAGTCAGAGAGAAGAGATTGAATAAACATAAGAGAAGTTCACCAACAAGCTTGAACTTTATTAAGACTTGACCCTGCTTGGTGTAATCAATTTTATACCAAGCACAGTAAGTGCTTGTTGAGCTTGACTTGAGCAGCACGGTTTTGTGGTTGCTGATTGTGGTGCTTGTACTTGAGGTTGCATTTAGGTTGGTCACTGACCATTGTTAAATGATTACATTGCATCTCTTGCCTAATTCCTCTCTCTCTCTCTTTCATCAATTTCTATTAAAGCGACTCTTCTTTCGTGTCAGGCATCTGATACACAAAAAATTGGTGAGAACCTGGTTGGCTCAAAGATTAAAGTTTGGCGGCCGGAAGACCAAATGTAAGTATCTATGCTCTATAGTTCTTCTTCTTCTTCTTGTTCTTCTTTTTCCTTTTATTTTTTCGATAAGTATGGAGAGTGCTTTTCTAATGGAGTGGGTGATGGTTCTCCATTTTTGTTTTTTTTAATGTTTCAGTTATATGATACATTGTTTTCTGTTGTGCAACATTTGTTCTCTTTTATTAGCTTTAATGCGTGGTTATGTTTAGTAATTGCAATATGTTCCCTACTCTATTATCTAATAATCCCATCTGCAATGCATCCCCTCTCTCGTTGATTTTTGCACAGTGGTTAGAAACTTAGAATCCTCCTTTGTTTTTGCTCTGAACTCTGCATCAATAAATGATTTGGATAATCTCAATTAAATTTCAGCCTCTGCATTGACTACCTGAATAATTAAGATAATTTTTTGCATCTTTAAATTATTGTCTGTTGAAGTTTGTAATCAATCAAGGAACCTTCTTAAGGATGCAAAACACGTTCTGCTCATACTTGCTAATGTTGAGTTTACTAATTTCAGGTTTTTTGAAGGTGTTGTTTCTTTTGATTCTGTTAAAAAGAATCATAAGGTAAGGGCATTGCATACTGTTGCTAGTCCTTTGTAGCCTTTTTTGATGTATCTAGCTGTTTTAGCCTTGGTGCATACTCAAACCATGGTTTAGGTTGGGATTTGATCTAACTCAATGTCATGAAATTAAAAACGAAAAGAAACGATTATCTGGGAAAAATGTCATATGTAACTAATCTACCAGGGATAAAGTGTCATATGTAATTAATAAGATTCTCGTGTTCAACAATAAATGCGTCGAACAGATATATTTTTTTTATAACTACATTGTGTTGTGTCCAAAACCTGTACTTCAATAACAAGTGTCCCTGTTACAAAGCCTTGTACCTTTTTTTTTTTTTTTTTGTTTCATCAATAAGCCTTGTTCTTTGGTCTATCTAGTGTGACCTCAACTCAGATTTTTCATGTAGAATATATTAAAAAAGCGGAATGGCATTGGCAACAATGTAATTGCCAGTACTATGCCAGTTGTTGCATTGCGGAACTGGGATTGTATCTTTCTTTTTAAAATTATATAATAAGTTCTATTTTAAGAAGTGTTTTTTAATGTGACATGTTACTTTTTATGCATTGGTTACTATATATAATCAGTTTTTTATTATTTTTTATATGGCTTGGTTGATATATTGGTTTCTTTTTCCTCTTTCAGATTTTGCATGTGAGGCATGCATTTACTAGTTGATTCAAAATATATGTTATCTATATTTTGTGTTGTTAGGATGGAGTTTACACAAGATCAGATAAGAGGAAGGGGTAAAGATAAACGGATGTGGACAGATGAAGAAGATATGAAGCTTATTGAGGCTGTCGTTGACTTAAACAATGCTCTTGTTGACTTACACAACACAGGCCTCTAAAACATCGAGTGTGGATTCAAACCACACCATATTGCAGCTGTGGAGAAACTACTTGCAGTTACTTTACCAAATTCGGGTTTAAAGGCAGAACCACATATTAAATCAAGAATGAAGACGTTGAAAACCCATTTTGATGCTGTGCATGATATGCTACATGGGCCTAACACTAGTGGGTTTGGTTACGATGATCTGAAGCATTGTGTGGTTGCTGAGAAATCTGTGTGGGATACCTACTTGCAGGTATTTGCTAAGCCTTCATAAATTTATTTCTGTCTAGTTTGTATTTTGATGTAGCAATAATTGTCATTTTGTTTTGTTTTATAGAGTCACAAGAATGCTGCAAAATTTAAGGACAAACCATTTCCGTATTACAAGGAGCTATGCACCATATTTGGAAAGGACCATGCTACTGGGAATGATTTTGAAACGGCTGCTGATGTTGTGGGAAAATTGGATAAAGAACACGTGGACAAGGAAAAAGAGAGTGAAAATGACGATATTGGAGACGATTTAGATGATATTGATGCATCAATGTCATTTCTTCAATCTCGCACAGTCGGGAAAACTGTTGAAGTGAGTTCTAAAAATAAAAGAAAAAAGAAAACTCCAAGTGTCGCATAATCTTTATGTGAAGCGGTGAAACAGTCTTCAAGTTTGATTGGTTCAGCTATAAAATCAAGTGCTGAACGCCTTAGTCGAGCCATTGAAGATGCTTCAACTACTGAGTTGAAAATTAGACTAAATGAAGAATTGAAGAAGTTATCAAGGTTAAAACATAACTGATCGATTGAAAGCTTTGGTTCAAATTGGTTGTGATCGTGACTTGATCCAAATTTTGTTCGCACTTGATGAGGATGACAAGAAGAATTGATCAAGATATTCATTTCGTAAAGTTTTTAAGGAGTTGGCACTTTTTCTTATAATTACAGAGCCGGATATATATATATATATATATATATGCTGTTTGAAACAGGCTTTTTCTGTCACTGTATTGCTGCTGGTTTTTAGTTTTCTCAGTATGTCGTTGTAACACATATATGCCAATGCGTGACATTTTTAATATAAGTGGCAGTTTGGTTGCTAATTGTTTTGGTCCGTCAGGGCTGTGTAGAATGTGTTAACATGGTTTTTGAATTGAAGTCTAGGTTGTTTGTAACTCAACTAGCTTGGCTTCTGTCAAAATTGTTACTGAAGATTGAAGACCGAGTCAAAATCTCTCCCTTTCCTTTGTGTTAGTCATTGTATATGTATATATATATATATATATATATATAAGCATTATCTACCCATCGTCTCTAAGTAGATGATGAGTGAGAGAGAGAGAGAGAGAGAGAGAGACTCGACTTTATTAAAATAAAAAATACAAAGTAAATGCCTTTTAATTAAAAAAAGAAAAAGAAAAACATATATGTCCAATGAATATCAGTATAAGTTAGAAGTTACAGTTATATTCAATTGGTGTTACTTTCACGCTTTCGTTCTTATACTTTGTGAACGTTCTTGTTCTCCTTCTCATTATGCGTGACTTAAATTTTTCCTCTCGCCTCCGTTCTCGCTTTATATAACTTAGGGTATGAGATACTAAAAAAACACACACGTTCTTACTCCCTTTTTTTCTATGCATGACTTAAATTGCCACTATTGCTTTCGTTTCTGCTTCATGTGACTTAGGGTACAAGACACTAAATAAAAACAATCCCATAAGTATCCACTCCAAAATCTCCTTTGACATGAGGTAGTTCTAAGGGTGCCCACCCCAATTTTTTTTTTTTTTTTAAGGTAATTTTAGCCTAGCCCAAAAAACCAAGAAGGTATTACTAGTATTAGGCCACCCAAAAAAATATTAGCCCACCTTATTGATAATTCCAGGATCCGCCCTTGGATCACCATAGTTCTCCTTTCAATCACATCTCCCCCTTATTAATTTTTTTTTTACAATTAATTTTATTAAAACTATGTTCATGGATTCCTTTTTTTTCTTCTTCTTCTTCTTTATTAAATGACATTAATTTTTATTAACTACAAAATTTGAAAAATATAATGAAATCAGATGATAGTGGTGACGCTCTTCATTATAGATGACAATTAAGTGATGGGCCTTGTGACCTTACAAAGAAAGCCCAAATTAGCAATAGCCCACTAATGGAATAGCCCTCTCTATTGTTGCCACTTGGGTCACAAAGAGGTTTTAGATGAATGATCTGAAATTATCACAAGTCAGGTAGTGATAATTTCATCCATTAAGCAATATATAAAAAAAAATCAATATATATACAGGAATAAAAAAATCAATATATATATACAATAGCAAGGTGCTGTTATTATTATTATTATTCAAACAAATTTATTTAAATTTAGGAATATTACATCAAATTTAATAAGAAATACAAGTGGGTTACATATTTGAACGAATCCCGTCAGATTTGAACAACTGAGACTAAATGAACTATTTATATCAGTTACTTAAACTTTTTGAAATATATATATATATATATATAACATAAAGGAAGTTTTAGGACTAAACAAAGACATGAAAAGAACATTTAAAAGAAATTGCAACAAACAATAAGTTCAGATGGAGTATTTTACAATTATATACATCAGAAAAGAAAAAAAAAAAAAAAAAAAAAAACACAACCATTTTGGCTCTGCCTCTATGCATCTCCAAACTGATCAGCATTTTTACTCGCATTCTGATTTCCAGTTCTTTTAAGATCTGCAATACCTGACGCCACCTTCGGTGGTTGCACAAATCGAACAGGTGAAGGTACTGATGAAACCGAGGACCGAAATGGCCACGCTGTGGAACTCGCATTTGAAGTTGGAGGAACTAAAAACTGGCTTGGTCTTTGAGAGCTAGTAGCAAACTTCGTGTCTTTATCTACCTGTTTCGCTTGCTCTTGAGAGAGAATCTTCGCGTCAATTTCCATTTCTTGACTGACATTCTGATTCTTCTCTCCAGCAAACCTAGTACCAGAAGACCCAAACGGAAGCTGGGGCTGCCAGAAAGTTGGTGCCTGATTCAACGCAGGGGTTAGGGTTCCACGTGAATTTCCTTTGTCTTCTGTCTCTTCTTTTCCTCTGGTCTGATGGTCTGTGTCCAAAACATCATTAGGCTTAGTAGGCTTAATTTCACACTGCTTCTCTCTATCCGAAGAAGTTCCTTCAACTAGATCAGCTCTGGTTGTTGTTGAAGAACGGCCCGAGGTAATTGAAGTTGTAGGAAATGCTTTCTCTGGAGGGACAGCTGGAGTATAATTAGACGGAAGCAGATCATCCCAATTCTCCAATAGCTCCTTGTAAACTTTACGGAGAGTGACCTCAGTGAGTCCCGTTACTTTACATATCTCTGCCTGGGTCTTGCGCTTGTCTTCGAGTTGGCACGCCAAATATATAGCAGCTGCAGAGATGCTAATAGGATTCCTGCGTGTGCAGAAGCATTTGTTGATCACAACTTCTCCAATGTGAGTTGCCAGCTCCTGAACAAGTTACTAGGTGTTCGTTATAATAACATTTAATCAAAAGAAAACAAACAGCATCACCCTTTAGACCACATGCAGTACTATAACTTAAGAATAGAACAATTTAATCAGTCATAAAAAGTTGGTAGAAAACTTCTACAGGAGGATAACACATATTAAAATTTTATTTCTAAGACAGCTAAAAAGTATGCATAAGTTTAAGAAACATCTGGGAACCACTAATTCTTTCAGAAATGTTGAAGAGCTCTAAAAACATTCATGAACAAGATTGTCCCCGGAATAGGATTTTAGAAGGTCTTCACAATAAATTTTAGAATATTGAATTTATTTGAAGTCGCAAAACTTTTAGCCGCTTGTACGACAAGGTTAAGATGCCATTTTCATTGTGAGACCGACCAAACATTCTAGTTTTACAAAAAAGGTACCTGAGCAGATTTGTTGAGTTGGAGAAGTGTGCAAAATCTCGGCATATGAACTGATATGGAATTGCTATTAATGGGCTGACTTAGTTGTAGAGCTTCTCCCAGTATCTTGATGTACTTCCCAATCTCCTTCTGGGGTAAATTGGCTGCAATTGAGATTTCCTGTTATATTAAAGAAGATACTGAGTTAGAGACACTTAAAACTTCAGGAAGTACGGGTGATTACCACTGTAGGTGAAGTTTACTACTCAAGACGTTGCAATATCAGCTAAGATACTAAAATTTTCCTCTCTTCACACACGCATGAAAACAGAAGGAGAATAAAAAGTAAAATATACTTTAAACTTCGGAAAGAATGGTTGACTACCACCACAGAAGCCTACAACTCAACAGAAGCCTTTTCATATAGCTGCCTAACAAACGCATTGCTAGAGTTTCTTATATCTGGTCAAATGACATTGCATAGGAAATATTGGAGCTTAACACCAGTCTGCTTCCATCGCAATGAAGCACAATTTGACAACCTCCATTCTCACATATGGAAGAAGCAAACAATCATACATTCCCTAATGGCTGAAACAATACTGGGAGAACTTGTTTGTTCTATTTCTTACAAAGTCAAAATTTTGCGAAATTGAATTTCAGAAATGTTACGTTAGAGATACTTCAGAAAGCATGGGTGATTACCACCACAGATAAAGCCTACAGCTAAAGACATTGCATATCAGCTAACATACTCAAAAATTTCTTCCCAGCACACACTCATAAGAGGAAGAAAAAAGGAACAGTAAACTAAAAACTTAATTCATAACCTCAGACAGAAGGGATGACTACCACCACGGGGGAAGCCCACGACTCTAGAGAAGCATAGTCATATGGCTGCCCCAACAACCTCTTTGCCTGAGTCCCTCATATCTAGCCTGATGAAATTGGTTAAGGGTTCTCTTGACAGCCATTTGCCTATACCCTGGTACTGTATTTCATTGTTTCGGTTGGTATAATAGTTCCTTGGAAGGGCAGAACGCCTTTGAACTTGTCTTGCTGTCAACTTCACGAGATCTTGACTATAATAAATCAGTCAAGATCACTACCCTCGCATTCATGATTTCAGCAATAAGAAAGGACTATTTATAGCAAAAGATTAATGGATAGCAATCTATAGACCAAGATTAATGATTATGCTAGTGAAAAGTCCACTGTTTATCCCAAAAGATTAATGAATATAATGGATTGACCCAAGACTAACTTGAACCTGGTCCACTGTTTACCCTAAAAAAATAATGGATTGATGGGTTGGACCCAAGACTAACTTGGAGTCTTGGACCTGGTCAACTGTTTGTCCATGGATTGAACTTTGATGGTGTGCATTCAGTGGACACGGATTGATTTTTGCGATTGCATGCATTGGACAGTACTGTGCCACTTCTTCAACCATGACCTGAGTTTTCCCACCAGTGTAATATTAGAAGGCACAGGAGCAGATGCTACACTCTCCATTACATCATCTGTACCTATTATAGTTTGCTTTGGAAATGAATGAAATAAGAATCTTGAAGATATAGCCAAGCTGCTAGAAGTCTGAATAGCCTCATTGGAAGAAAACAGAAGCTTCTTGAATAATGAAAGCAATAGAGCTCTCCCCTGCATCATTTCCATGCAAAGCAAGACACTTGGCATGACAACACAAATAATGCTACAATGTTGTCCATAGTTTGTGGTCAGGCTGCTCAATGTCCAAAATTAAGAACTGTGGTCCATCAGTTTTCATAGTTTGCTTTGGAAACGGGAGCCTCTTGTCAATGAAATATCCAACCAGACATGCAGACCGATAAGGTTTACCTCACTCTGGAATCGTTGTTGGAGGCTTCACGGCTATTCGACCTAAGAATATGCTTAGATTTTCTGTTGTTTTTCACCATTCCAGCCCATGAGATTGGTTTGAGACCCAGTTGAGTGACGTCCTCACCAATTGGTTTGTTTTTCAACAAATTGACGTGGGCTCATTTGGGGTATCAGATTTGGGACTTGGGAGTTTGGGGGAGGTTGAACGACACGCGTTTTAGCTGTGTGACCTTCACACGCCCCCAAATTGCTAGCATCTCATATCGCAGCGAATCGGGATCTTGATCGATTGTTCCATTGATATCTTCTGTATCTCGATCTGCCTCTTTTTTTTGTGTAATTTTCTGGTCCATGTTTTTGGCTAAAATAGCTTGCTTGTTCGCTTACAATCAGAAATTTGCAAAATTGAATTTCAGAAATGTTAAGTTAGAGATACTTCAGAAAGTGTGGGTGATTACCACAACAGATAAAGCCTACAGCTAAGGACAATGCATATCAACCAACATACTTAAAAATTTCTTCTTAGCACACACTCATAAGAGGAAGAAAAAAGGAACAGTAAACTAAAAATTTAAATCATAACCTAAGACAGAATGGCTGACTATCACCACGGGGGAAGCCCACGACTCAAGAGAAGCATAGTCATATGGCTGCCCTAACAACCTCTTTGCCTGAGTCCCTTGTATCTAGCCTGATGAAATTGGTTAGGCAATGCTTGAGCTCAACACCAGTCCTCTTGTTCTATACTTCTATATTGAAGAGCTCATTTTTTCTATCTTTTGCAATGTCATGAAGTTGCGCAAAGAACTTCATAATGTTAAGCACACAGCAGCCCCCAACCCACCAACCAAACACACCCCCTCAAAAAAATAAATAAATAAATAAATAAAGAAAAAAGAAAAGAGCATTCAATGAAAAGAGAACACAATCTCATCCTTGATAAGTGCTATAATGATCTACAATAAAATGCACAAGCTATATTCAGATCCTGTAGGAATGACCACAGAAATAAGTTGATTAAGGTTACAAGGGGATGCAATTAACAATGAATCTCAGCCTAAAACAAGACAAGACTTGAGCTACTTGGATGCTCATCTAAGAAGTCAGTGACTGCATTATTATCTGTTACTTAATAGTGGATGAGTTTCACCGTAAACGGTTTCTGTTTACTGCAAGAATTTCACACAGAATAAAGTAGTAGTAAATAATCAATTTTGAAATGATTTTTCTTTTTAGAAGAAGACTTCCGTTGAAACATACTGTATATAAGGTAAAGAATACAAGAAATAATGAATAAGTATCTAAGAATAGCTATTTGCCATATTGCAGTGGTTTCATATGCAAGGTAGGTAGAACTACAAGTGGGGGTCAGTTTCCAACCCAAACTCGCCCAAGTTGTACAGGAGTTGTGTCCGGATGGCTTGAGTGAGGAAACACAAGCTTAATAGAAACACATTAGTCGGTTTAGAATTAGGTGGAAAGGTTGGGTTCATTTAAAATGATACTTCAACCCAAGCTCAATCCAAATTAAATTTGGGTTGAAATTCTTTAACCCAGTCTCCACCTGAGTTTTACAAATGCTGCCAAGCACATGAGAAGTCGGACTTGTTCAGGTTCACCAAAAACATTGTGCTCCTAGACACTTCATCAAGTCGTAAATAACCTTCAACCTCTTGCCTTTAGTTCAGTGACAATCCTACTACAACATTAGTGGCGGTCTAGATGCTGGCAGTTAGTGTGGAGGCAATGCTCCCTTCTTCCATTTCCGATGCACTAAACAAAGACAACGACTAAAATTATATGAGGAGAGATAATATGCAGGTTCTGCTCTTTATGCCATTCCAATGAGAACTTTTTCTGATAGGTTGAATGTTACATGATTGCTTCATTTACTTGAAATTTTTTGTTCTTGCTTCCTCTATTTTGGCCATCTAATAACCAACAGCTTAATTCATTCAAAATTACACTCCTCTAAGGAAAATACAAACAACGGTCTCACATTTCAAATAAGCATATACCTCAATATGCAAGAATCATATACTGTAAAACATTAAAAAATTAAGGAATCCTTATGATCAATTAAGAATTATACTCAACTCAAAAATAAAAACCCTAACTTACATCTAAACATTTGCATCACTGCCACCCAAAAGCCCTTTAAAATCCAAAAATTTATATCTATATAGACACATATGAAATACTAAGCAAATATATATGTACCTGGAGGGTTCTGGGTTCTTGGGCTTCCCTAATCGCCTGAACAAGAGCAGCAGTGGCAAGTGCTTCGACGCTCCGATTTCTCAAGCAAGTGGCCGAAGAGCAATCCCTGAAGAGCTGAAACGCGTGGTCTGTTATGTCGTAGTCCAGTCCCAGTATCGACGACACATCGATGATCTGAAGGTACGCTCTCAGATTATCCACAACCACCGACGAACCAGAAGAAGAGGAGGAGGTGGTCTCCAGGACGCGTTCGAGCTCGGCGAGATGGCCGGCGAAGGAGAAGGAGGATTGGGCGAATAGTGGGTAGGGCTCGAGGGACCAGGTGGAGAAGGCGGTGATGAAGCCGGTGGGTTCGAATGGGTCTTCGTCGGCTTTGTATGATGGGTCGGCGGCGGCGGTGGTGGCGGCAGCGGTGGGGAGGGTGGGGAGGTCGGAGGTGACGAGGCAGAGAGGGGAGTCTTGGGATCGGAGGTGGAAGAGGTGGTGCGGTTGGGATTGGCGTTCCTCGACGACCCGGCCGCAGGAGGTGCACTCCGTCACGGATCGGCCGGAGGAGGTGGTGGCGCACCGCCCCTGCGCCGCCGAGCAGTATGTGCACCGCATGTCGTTTAGTTCGGTGGGGATTGTGGTGGGTGGATTTTATTTGGGGAATGGTATGGTTTTTGTGATCCGAATGAGTCCATGGATACTATTGGATGATATGCACGTAGTAAATTTAAAAAAGTGTAACAAAGGTGAAATTATAAATTAATATTCCATTATATAATTCGATATAATGTTAACATAGTTAAGTGTTTATTGAAATAATTTGTAATGTAAAGGTGCAACTCTTATGACATATATATATATATCGGTCTCATAACACAGTATTATTTAAGTCAAGAGGATGGGTAGTTTGAAAATCTTAGCTCACAAATATGGATTACCCAAAAATTGTTTCCTAATCAATTTTTAATTTCAATATGGATCACGCAAAAGTAGTTTCCTAATAAAATTTTAATTTCAGTACTATAATTGGTAGTACTGAATATGTGCCTTAAATTTGGAATTAGAAGAATTTTTAGACAAAATTTGTAAATTTCCTTCGATTCCAAATTCATTGCACCGATTCAATACTTCTAAAAAAACATCAATTTATTTCAATTCCAAATCGTTTTTAAGTTGTCTTATCTATGACATACCACTTTCAAGTAATAATTCAAGTTGCTTTGTGTATTAAAATTGAATCTTCATGGGCAAATTAAAAAGTATTTTCTCTGTTAATCTTACATTTCTTTTTTCAATTAACACCAAAAAAGATCGAACTTATGATGGAGTCGGTTTATATTTGTAATGAAATTCCTGTTGAAAAAAAAAAATAAAATTAGGGTTACAATTTGAAGCTCTCCAAGAACGGCCATTTCACCAGGTTAATCTTTGTGCAGTAGTACTATGTTAATTTCATGGTAAAGCAATCCCCATTTCCAGTTCAATTATGCATTAAACTAAGGTCACCGGATCAAACAAGGGAATTCATATGAGTTGGCCTATTTGTAACTCATTTTATATATGCATATAACCTAAAATAATGCGCCTTTGTAATCGGGATAAAATTAAATTTCGGAGATTAGTTAGACTGGAGGTGGGACCTGAGATTTACCATTGTGGATTATTACACCCCTCTCATTCAAAACCGTGTATGACACTTTCATCTCACACGGCTCTTAAGTGATAAAAAAAAAATAAGGTTGTGTTCGGCTACATGGAATAAGAGCCTTGAAATTGAAATTGGTAGAATTGGAAAAAAATTTGATTCAATTTTCTAAATTGCTTTTTTCCAATTCTAAAGCTTCAATTCCAATTCCAAGACTTCAATTCTATACAACCGAACATAACCGAAATACATTTATATTTCAGTTACTTATGATATGATATGGGCAATGTGATTATAAATTCACAATTGATACGAACAACATTCACACACCTATCTGATACAAGAAAATTTGAAAACGATAAACCCTACTTCAGGAAAAGAAGGAAGAGAGGAAGAAGAAGAAGAAGATACGACTTATAAACAGGTGCTTGAATTGCAGGAAAAAAAAATTAAAATTAAAATTAAAAATAAATAATAAAAAAAAAAAAAAGATCAAACCCCTCTATCAAGGCATATTTTCAGCATGGCTAAAAAAATGTGTCACTTATTAACAGTCACTGCTGAAAGTTAACAACAAAGCAATGTAGTAAGATAGTCATTGGAGAAAGAAGGAAAAACGAAAATGTGCTTTTCTGTTGTAGAAAAAAAAATAATCTCGACTATCCTCGTGAATGCCCTCAATGTACAGCACGGAAATTCAATACATGAGAGAGAAAAAAAAAAAAAAAAAAAAAAAAAAAAAAAAAAAATTCACTTATGAAGCCTCACTAAGAAAATCTCAATCGAATTCATCAACTAAAAAGGTCATTTCAATTTACCACCCACATTTGTGAAGTTATGATAGCAAAAATGGAAGAATGAGAACCTAAATAAATACATTGTCCCTGTTGCAGAAACAAGAGGAACCAAGTATGATTTTGCAACACTACCTTTTACTAAATTTGGGCAGCACACATCAACAATTGTGGGATCAAGTATTAAAGAGCAGCAACTCGCAGGCTTCAATCCTGAACTTTGTACACAAGTCATAGCCTACTCCCTCAGTTGCTTATCATCAAGTCACGGCCATCTTGCCTTTCTCCGATTGCATCATATTGAATTCTCCCACACTCTGAAAGTAGGTACACAAAGTAAAGCCCACAATACTTTATTAGTATCACCTAGATGTTTGGTGCAAACCATATAAAAAGAAACATCAAACACAAGAATTGGACAACGTGTATGTATCTCAAAAAATACATTTTTTCTTGGTCTTCCCTCCATAGGTACATTTACTAAATTCATAGCACAAGGCTTAAGAAAAAAATATATATATATATCAGAGCAATTTCATTTATATTAAGAGTTTAACCAGAAAATAACAAGAAGAAACCATATGGCTGGGGGAATACCAAACCCCAGACACAGAAGAAGGAGCAGTGGCACCACACATAATAATTTCACCAGTTTATTGGTCGTGTATATTATATCTGACCAAGTGATACTGTAGTCTACAGGGAGCTAGAATGTCTGCCGCTTAGAACCCCTTTTAATTCAATTTTTTAACAATAAAACAATTCTTTCCTCTTGCTTCTGGTATCAACTTCGAAAGATACAGTTTAAAAAAGCATTACATAAATTATCTAATTTTGAACACTTTGTTTCTTCCAAATTGAGACTTGTAATTATGATAAAAGGAGAGACATTTCCTTCATCGGTAGAACCAACAATGCAATAAGCACAAATGCCTCAGATTGGAGCATCTGGCAATTCCCACTTAAATTGTGCATTAATGAGAAAATTGGAAGAGCAAGCACACCTCTAGGAACAGATTTTGGCACACAATAGTCTATCCTAGTATAGGCTGCAAAAGGCCAACATGCTTCAAAGGAAGCCTATGCATCAGCGAGAAAGTAATCATGTTAAGCTGTTTGACAATGTATTATCAATGTGTCTGAATGGGCATATCCATATCAACTACTTTCATATTTACTTATCCTAAAAAAACAAGAAAACAAAAAAACAAAAAAAAACAAAACTACTTTCATCTTCATTGCCATGACCCCTATATTGATTATTTTTGTCAACATTTCCATGATGACACAAATTTTTTTTTTTTTTTTTAGAAGTAAGATGACACTAAATTTCTGGAAGCCAATTCAAAGGAGATGTAGCCAACGCATTGGAGATAAACATAACTAAATTATTTGATGTAACATAATTACCAACCTCAAGTATATTCATCATAAGATATATTCTAGGGTAAAAGGTACACAAGGAGGATACATGGCATAGATGTCCTTAGTAACACATATTGGCTACTCCACGATCAAAATCATGAACAAAGTTATAACGAAAACTAGTGAAATTAGGGATCAGGACTAAGTCACTGCATGATAGTTTTAGATTAAAGAGGCCTGATCAAAGTCAAAGATGGACTTTTAGGGTGCTTCAATGGTTAATTCTTCAACAATTTGACTCGCACATAGGTAATAATGAGGAGTCCGGATCCTCTGCAGTACAGCACAAGTGCTGTTCTGCATCCGAGGGTCCTCAACACTCACACGTGTGATGTCAATTGTCAGATGTGCTGTACTGCACCTGATCCCAGCTCAATAAGAAGTGACATAAATAAATACGTGTTAGGATCATCGATAGTTTATTTAGCGGACCTCGGAAAGACATAGTGGAAACCCAGATAAAGAATTAATGAATTTTAAGTGTGTTTGGCGAGTTAATATCAAAAGAAATTGACCTTGGATAGATCGAGTAAAATTATTAATAGATACAAGGTTTCTCAGTAGCTATTTGACCAATGAGTAAAGGATTAATGGTTTAAGATGTGACCAGTAAATAACTATTCGACTAATCAAGATTACTTTCAACTGATAAGTTTAGAGCAGAAATTTATGGATTGATTCAACTAAAACTGTGGATCAGTCAAGCTTCGTCAGATTAAGATAGTGACGAGCTTTCCTGTTTAAATTGGATTCTTTTGTTACTAAACTTTACCAAGATCTTACTAGGTTCAGTAGTTCATTCAAAAGAAACTTAATTTCTATGGCACAAAAAAAAGCATGCTTTAAAGTTTCCAAAGCCATTAGGACTTGGAACTAAGAAAATGGGGTTCTACTGAAGACCGTGGATGTTTTACTTCATTGCCACAGAATGGTGATACAACAAAGGTGCCTACACTACAACAACTACTACTCTTCCTCTTCATATTTGGTAAAAGATTTTAGGGACAAAATTCCATAATTCCATATCCTCAGTTTAAGAAAACTAAAATTGGATATACCGAGACACACTTTACTACTGAAAGAGCAGTTATATTTGCAAGGTGATTTTTAAGGTGGGAAGTGATGTGTTTTACATTCAAAGAGCACTAGATGGAAATTTCTCAAAGAAATCAAAAAACTAATTAATATTGACTAAATCAAGAAATCAAAAAACTAATTTTGGTATCTAAAAAAGGGTAAATTAAAATAAAACTATAATAAAATAACCCAACATAAAGGGGAAAAAAAAAAATATACGCAGGCAATTTAACTTGTTTTTTTTCCTCCTCTTTTCTATTTACAAAAAGTTAAAACGTAAGCTTTATTGAATAAGGAGATTACAACTGTACGTACATAAATTGCAAGTTAAAACAACATTAAACTTCAAAAGAAGTTTAACATAGAAAATAAATATTAAGTAGAGCATTAGATCTATTTTCACACAGTCTCTTTGGGACTTATAATTGTTTATTAATACTAATCGTAATTAGTGTTTCTCCCATATGAATGGGGCCAACCACATATGTAATGTATATTTGTTCATTCTTTTCTATTAGAAGTCATTTCTCCAAATATATTCAATCTTTTAAAGTCAATTCCAATTACTTTTTTTTTTTGATAAGTACGATTTTATTAAAAACGCTCAAAAAGGGGAGCGAAGCCCATAGAGACAAAAGGAACACAAGGGCCAAAGGGCACCTTAGACCTTCAGAGAGGCCAAAAAAACAATAATTTCCTCCATAGATCTATAATCTCTCCCTGAAACCCAACAAAAAAAAGTAGAAATAACAGAGAACTTAAGCATAGAAACAGGCTTCTTTTTCCCGTCAAAATATCTCCTATTTCTCTCAAGCCAAATACACCACCAGATACAGAGCGGCGTAGCCCTCCAAGCATCCCTAATGCCAGCCCCAACAGAGACGCCTCTCCAAACCTCGATCAACCCTCTACAGGAAAAAGGCATGGCCCAATGTACCCCAAATAAACAAAGCATCAAATCCTCCCTGGCCATGCTGCAATGTAAAAGGAGGTGATCAATTCCAATTACTTAATCTCATATTTCTTCCTTTCTGACGGATACATTTAAGTGTCTACATTATATATGTCCATATTACTTAAGACTTAAGAGTAAAGACCACCCCTTTTATTTTATCAACAATATGTGCCACTTCTATTTTCTTCCTCACAAAGTTTATTATTAACCTGATTCACCTGATAAGTTTTTATTACTCCTATCATCCGTTTCAGCATTATCATTCCAACAACATAAAAGCATTGTGCTTTATTGTTTTTTTTATTTATCATTTTGTACTCCAATCCATATAAGATAGCTGACCTAATGACCGTCCTGTAAAATTTTTATCACGTGAGATACCATTAACATGCATCTATTTAGTCAAACTGATTCAATCCTACTAATTCCATCATTATCTATCTCCCTGTCTTTGTTTATTAACCATAAATATCGAATGTATATTTTGAGTAATCCTTTGATCTTAAATTGTTATCAGTATATTGTTATTTTTTATAACTTCCTTGAACATTCTATACATTTGTTTTAGTACTACTAATTTTTAACCATTTTGAGTTTTGACTCCAATGTATTTCTTTAAATTTCTAGTATGTCAATGAAAACAACGCACATTACGAGATGTCTATAGTTAGATTCCATTTTAATAAATGAGAATGATTTTAAACAGAAGATTGTTTATTGAGGTTGGATCCCAAAACTCAAAAAAATTATTAAATTAAGGTAGGAGAGACATATTTATTGCAATCATAATGAGGTTTAGATCGTTGTTGGCGTGGATTTCAAGTAACTCCTTTCCATGTTGTTATTTAAAATCCATACACATAAGGCTCAAATCATTGTTAAAACTTTAAACTAAATCACTCATTCAAGTTTATTCTATAATCACTCATGGCAGCTCTATTAGGTATCTTCCATTTTGGAATTTTTTAGTTCTTTTTATGCCATGTTGTTCTTAGTCCAGCAGCAGAGTCTTTCTTCTTCTTTTTTTCTTTTTTTATCCTGGCAAACTAGAGGAAGGGGAACTCGAACACAGGCACACCCGCTCGGGGAGCTGGGCACTCTATCAACTAGGCCACATAAATACACATAGATACTTTGTAAAATTGACCCACATACATACATATATATATATATCGTCAACTGCACAAGCCCAACGCACTGTCTCCAATTTGGAGATAGGATCTGAGACACATGGTAGATTCGTGTGTGTGTGTCCAGTTTCAAGTAAATGTAAAGTAATGAACACAAAAACACATAAAATGGTTAGAGATTGAAGAACGCCAATAATACTTTGTATGGGCAATGCCCTGGCAGCGTCTTTCTTATGTTCTATTTCTTTGGCTTTTGTTTGTCCCTGCTTCCCCTTGCTGTCCCTAGGGTAGTTAGCAGGGCTTGCTTTGTTCTTGATTGGGGTATGCCCCTCTTATGCTTGTCTTGGTTTTTCTTCTTGAATAAAGTGATTATTTATCCAAAAAAAAAAAAAATCATTATTTCAAATCCTTCAATCCAAACTGAGTCCTATTTAACATTGTAAATAGATATGGACTCAGCACTAATCTTTGGTGTAATCTTGCTATTATAGAAAAATTATTAAACCTTCCACATTTAGTTGGCATACATCTCTTAAATGATTTTTGCAAGTTCTATGGCAATCCGTTTTCTTTGTAAAGTGTAGCAATTTATATATGCCTTTTTTTTAAGTCTATGAAAATCATGTGCAGATCCTTTGGTTCATTTTACAATTTTCTACTGTTTGTCTTATTAAGTGAATCGCCTCCATAGTGGATTTCCTAGCTTAATTCAAATTGATTATTTCCTTAACATCTGTTCCATTACCCTTTTTCTTTTCTTTTTTGATAGGTAAACACAAGCAATATTATTATTATTAAGAAAATCGCTCAGCAGAAAAAGGGGAGCGAACCCTTTACAAAAAATAAAGATAGCAAGGACACTACAATAGTGAGAAGTTGTCCATAAAGTCCATCAAAGAAGTCGTTGATGAACAGCTTCTCCCGATCACCCAGAAATAAATAGAGTGCAAAATGTTTGATTTAATCACCCCAATAGGAGATTCAACTCCATCAAAAGCTCTCCTATTTCTCTCACACCACATACCCCAGCACAATCATAGAGGAGTAATCCTCCAAATATCTCTAAATCTCTTAGGCACTTGCCGACCATGCCAAGCCTCTATCATCCCTTTTGTGTCCTTGGAAACAACCCAATCCACACCGAATAAAACCAAGAACAAGGCCCAGATTTCCAATGCAACAGGACAATGTAATAAAAGATGATTCACAGATTCCCCTGCATCTTTGCACAAGCACCAATTAATAGCAATCTGGCGCCTTTTCCTTAGATTATCCATAGTACCAAGAGACAAAGGGTAAATCGCTCGTTTTGAAAACTCATCCCATCCTCTCCGAATTCCTTTCCAAACACCTACACCCGCTGAATGAGTCACCTCACTAGACTTCCATCCACCCCCCTCTTCTCTATAACGGCAAGCAATAATCCTCCTCCACAACACATGCCTCTCGTTCCCAAATCTCCACAACCACTTACCCAGGAGAGCTTTGTTTGCCCAAACCAGCTTACGAATCCCCAACCCCCCTTTAACAATAGGGGTGCAGACTTTCTCCCAATTTACAAGGTGACATTTAAACTCCTCCCCCATGCCACCCCACAGAAAATTCGCTTGAATACGGTTAAGTGTTTTTGCCACAATGCTGGGAATCGGAAACAAAGACATAAAATACGTAGGCAAATTGGAGAGAGTGCTTTTCAATAAGACAAGTTTGCCTCCTTTTGACAAGTATTGTTTCTTCCACCCAGAAAGCCTCTTCTGGAATCTCTCAATAACAGGATCCCATATAGTCACCCTCCTCATAGAAGCTCCCAAAGGCAATCGTAGATAAGAAATCGGCAAAGACTCCACCCCGCATCCCAAGATGTCTGCAAGTTCTTGGATATTCGGCACCTCCCCTACTGGTACAATTACACTTTTCCCGACATTAATTTTCAGTCCTGAGACCACTTGAAAGCATGCCAAAACACATCTCAAATGTCTCATCTGAGTTACATTTGCATCACAAAAAACTATAGTGTCATCTGCAAATAGAAGGTGTGATGTAGTAATCTGGTGTGAGATGCTCCCAACTGAAAAGCCTTGAATAAAACCCAGCTGTTCAGCCCTTTTCATTATTCTACTAAATGCTTCCATAACAGTAATAAAAAGAAAAAGGGAAAGAGGGTCCCCTTGACGTAACCCTCTTGAGCTTGCAAAGAAGCCTGCTGGAGTCCCATTTACTAAAATGGAAAAGCAGGCTGTAGCAATACAGTGAAAGATCCAACCAAATCCCAGCCTCTCCAACAAATACATTAAGAATTGCCAGTTGACATGGTCAAAAGCTTTATGAATATCCAATTTGCATATAATCCCCAGCTCCCCACTCTTCATTCTAGCATCAATACATTCACCTGCAATAAGTACCGGGTCAAGAATCTGCCTTCCTCCTACAAAGGCATTTTGGGATTCCGATATCACTCCATCCAATACCTTCCTCAACCTAATGGATAGAACTTTAGCTATAATTTTATACACTGATCCCACCAAGCTTATGGGGCGAAAATCCTTGGCCTCCACAGCACCTCCCTTCTTAGGGATTAGGGTAATGAACGTTGCATTCAAACTTCTTTCGAAAGAGCCATTCACGAAGAAAGTGTCCAATGTTCTCATAACATCCATCCTCAATACCTCCCAGTTCTTTCGAAAAAAGGCAGTGGTAAAACCATCTGGACCCAGCGCTTTATCCCCATCACAACTCCTTTTTCATAATTTCATTGTATATGATCCATTAAATTAGTACTTCTATAATTCTCGCAGTTTTTGAATATTCCATTACTACAGTTCCTTTTCTCCATTCATTTTGAATCATGTCTCTTTTAGAATTTTATTTAATAATAAATTTGGTCGTCATTCAATTCTTACATTTCCAAAGTTATTCATGCCTTTAAATATATGTATGTTATCAAGTCCTTCTACAGAACTGTAAATCCCTATTAACTCATTAACACATCAACAAAACTCAACACATACTATGTACACAAGTTGATAAATTAGAACTATTAATGCTTATAGAAATAAGTTATAAGTTAACCCTAATTCACACAATGCTCTGAAACAGCAAGCTAAAATTCCTCCCAACACAAATCCACAAACATTGATGAAATGAAATTTAATCATAAACCCAAAATCAAAGAATGTGGTACGAACCGTTGATTGAAGAGGAGGCGGTTCGATATCAATCGATCGAATAGACATCTTAGCGATCTCAGAGATTGCAGCCTCTCGAACGCCAGAATCGTCGCTGGTCAAGTCCTCGTAGGCAGCCTCAAAAGCCTCTCGCCAGAATCGCGGCAATCTGATCCGTCGACTGTTCGTATACACATCCCACATGTGCTTCACCAACTTCTCTCTCTCCTCCATTTCCTATCCCAATCAACATCTCAAACCAGTCACAATATTGAATACACACACATATATATATGCATGTGTGTGTGTGTTTGAATATAGATATATAGAGAGAGAAAGAGAGAGAGACGGACGAGGACGTCGAGATCGTCGTGGAAGGGGGTGTCAAAGTGGTCGGAGAAATTGTTGAGGTTGCCGGACCAGCGGAGGGTGACGGTGCCGGTGAGCATGGACCAGAAGGCGAGGAGCAAAATGGCGGCCAATGCCCAGAACTTGTATCGGCCTCGGCCAAATAATAGGTTCGAATCTGAGGTCTCTTTCTTTGAAATTGTTGACGAAGAAGATGATGATGTTGTGGTCTGTGTCGATATTGGTAAGACATCATCATCCCTCATTTTGATTTCCAGAGAGAGGGAGAGAGTGTTTTGAATCTGTTTAGGGGTTGAATTAAGCTCTCTCACTCTCAGAAACTCTGATGGGTTTGGACTTCGGAAGAAGAGTCGATTTAGAGAGAGAGAGAGAGATTCGATTCACGCACAGAGATTCGCAGTTTTACGAAGTGGAATTCTTTCTTTTGCGGGTCGGAACATTAGGCCAAAGTTCCACATTCGGGTTTGGATGGTCCATGGGGATAAGTGGATCACTTTATTTGGACTAGGTCCGCAGATTGGATCTAAGTCACATCTGGGAAGTCCATGACAAAATTTAAAGGTATGTTTGGGAAGTGTTATCATATTATTTTTTTAATATTAATATTTAAATTTAGGTTTATATTATGTTTGGAATGAATGATATTAGTTTGAAATAGTTCATAACATATCAGATTTTTTTAGTCAAAACTTATATCATCGACTTGGTAATATTGTATTTTTGGTATTGTAACGAGAAACTAAAAGCAAATTTTTGAATTTTTCAAAATAAAATTTTGTTATCAAACATGGTTCCTATTTATACCCAAAATACTCTTACAACAAAACAGTTGTTTTGATATTGCAAAAAAACATAACATCTAAGGTGGGTCAAACTATGTAAGTAACACTTGTTTAAAAAAATCGTGTGAATTAGGATGAACAGATAAATATAAAATTCTTTTTATCTTTTTCAGGGGTTTGAATCCAATTCAAAATCTAAAATAGAATCCAGTGCACCCATTTTGCACTATATAACAATGATGCAACACATTTGTATTAAAGATACATTACACACATTCAATATATTACTTTAGCATTATAGTTCTACTAAACTAAATTAAGAATTTAATGTACTTGTACAATGAACATATCTCATGTTCGTATATATGAGGTTTTTATTATTATTATTATTATTAATCATTGATAAGAAACTCATACACTGGTTTATTTCTATGAAAACTTGAATTAAGTCGCACAATTCTTTCAAAATAAAGTAATTCCGAGGACAAATCCTTCTATAATTCGCAAATTCAATTTTGTAAATCCTTGAATTCAAATTGTGAATCATCTAATTCGTAACAATTCACATTCATTAAATTATTAATAATTATTGATAGCCCAGTGATTAGTGCGTTCGGTGAATTTTGGGAGTGCCAGGTTTCGACTCTTTGCACCTACTCATCTAATTTCTAACCCTTCTTGCCTTGTAAAAAAAAAAAAAAAAAAAATTATTGATAACTACATGTGACATTTATTATTGATGACATTATCAAAATGCACCTAATACTAAATAAAAAAAAGTTTGAAATGTGCATAACTAATAATGAACCTATAGAATGACACATCATTGTCATATTGTTGGCTTTAATATTGATCATTTTTGTTTTGTTATTTAAGTTTAAAAATATTAAATGTATTCATAGGCACATAAATATTTGCAGACAAATTATAGAGTATATAAATACTTTTTAGTTTTACTTTATTTAATTAAGAAGTTTATTATTTTATAATTCTTTAAAGTGATCAATTTTAGTTTGGATTTGGGTTGATAATCTTAAGAAGATTATGTATGGGCTTGGATATGGGCTGTAAAATTTTATTTGGATTACAATATGGGCTTTTGGATCAATAAAATTTCCAATACGCCCAAAACCATCAACTGATCCAATACGAATTTATGGACCTGCCCAAACACTGGTGCCCTTACCGTTTAGAGGACATGGTTAGAAGTTTTTGGTCAACAATAATAATTCTTGAGCATTGTCCGGTGACCTAGTTGATCGAGGCTCTCTAACCTCCAAACGAGTGTGTCTGCGTTCGAGTCTCTCCTGAAATATATATTCTCAAAAATTATTATCTGAAAACCGACTCAAGCATTCTCTCCGGTCCTGTGCTCTATTTTTAAGGGTCTAATTGTCGAACTAGACAACATTCATCAGACATTACTTATTACAGAATAAGTATTTTGGAAAAATGAAAAGCTGAGAGAGATCGAATTCAATTCCTTAACTTTTTGAATGTATACGTTCCTTAATCCTTAGAAGTATGCGTTCCTTAATTTGATTGCTTAAAAAGTTAATGTCGATTGAATTCACAATAGCCCAGTCCTCCTTCTCAAAAAGAAAGGTAGGGTGTTCGAGCCTCCATAAGCATGAGCGTTCCTTTGTGCTTAACCTTTCAAAAAAGAAAAAAAAGGATTGTATGATAGCTAAACTGAGAAGTTGGGGTCCTCATATTTATGTAAAAAAAATATAACGCTTAAAGTGCGTCGGAGCATAAGAGTAACAATCGTGTGAATTAGGATTGAACGGACAAATATAAAATTCTTTTTATTTTTTCACGGATTTGAATCCAATTCAAAATTTAAATAGAATCATGTGCACCCATTTTGCACTATATAACAATGATGCAACACATTTTTATTAAAGATACATTACACACATTCAATATATTACTTTAGCATTATAGTACTACTAAACTAAATTAAGAATTTAATGTACTTGTATAATTAGACAATTTAAAATTGATACATTATACATAACAAAGACAAAAGACTAAAATGACAATAGATAGTACCCCACAACACTTTCATTTTATTCTAACGGTTTTTTATTTATTTTAATATAAAGGAATTCTTTTTATATTTTTAAATTTTAAGGAAGTTGAATAGTTTAACTGAACACAATTCAAAATAAAGTGCAATGAAACTAAATTAACCCAAATTTAAGTTAGATTTTGTCACCCTGAACATATCTCTCGTTCGTATATATGAATTTTTTTCTTTATCATTGGAAAGAAATTTATGCATTTGTTTGTTCCTGTGAGGACTTGCATTTTTGCATTTTTATTATTTTCCGCACATGGTGGCCTTCATACATTTTAGTTTTTTTTTTTATTATTATTATTAGAAATTATGATTTAAGTTGCAAATGTGGTTAAATAATTTAAATGTCATTATTTGTTTCATAAAGGGCATTATGGACTTTCTGTTTTGCAAATAGGATATAAATGAAAAAGTAGACTTTTATTATGCAAAATAGCATAATTGGCATTTGGTTAGTTATGAAAGGGTGTTGTGGACATTTTCATACAAATGGCATGAATGGGATTTTGTGTTTGTTGAGGGGTGTTTTAGTCTTTATGCATGGTCTAGATTTTGACTATTGTGTGGGCTTGACACCTTAGTACTTGGTGGCTGCCCTCATGCAAATCTATGATATGTGTCATCTAGTACAATAGATATACACAAAAGAAATATTCTGCAGAACCATTTCGTGCCTTTGTTTTCTTTTCCCTAGTTATCTTCTTTGCAAGCTTAATTTGGGATGCTTGTGTTGAGAATTTGGGGAGGGTTTGTGAATGAAAAAGATTCATAAGATCATAGACTTCCTTTTTGATGTTGAAGTTGTGAGCATTTTCCACCTGTAGGGTTGTCAAAATCTGATTTAAAAAAAGAGAAGAAGTGGTTGTATTTCAAAGAGGGTGTTCTTCATTTTGTTTACAAAGTTGGTGGCTTTGATTCAATCCTTGGGCTTTTAAATTGTTCTTGCAAGGATTTTCAAGCTTCTTTGAGGTAGGATTTCTTAACTCTCACATCATTTACCTTTAAGGAATTAATTCTGTTTGTTTTGTGCTTAAAACATTGCTGAAAAATGAATCTGTCAACCTTAATTTCTGCACAGCAACCTGAATTTCAATTGACCATAACTTCCTCATTTAAAATCCAAATTGAGAGATTTTTAAGTTTACATTGATTAGCTCAAAACAAGCTTTCCAGTGATACCAATTTCAGCCTTAGATTCCAACTGTGCAAAAAGTTATGACCCTTCAAACATAGGCTGTCAGGTTCGCGCCTTAATCTGCAGAATTTTCTGCACAGCAACTTGAATTTCAACTGACCATAACTTCCTCATTTTACATCCAAATTGAGCGATTTTTGAGTCTAAATTGATTAGCTCGAAACAAGCTTTCCAATGATACCAATTTTAGACTTAGATTCCAACTGTGAAAAAAGTTATGACCCTGTAGACATAAGCTGCTTCCTAAAAATTACAATATTGGTAGTTATAATATTTCTTGAAATGGGAAGTTTTGTACTTATTTTATTAATGTTATAAAGCACTGTAGAAGTTGTTATATGGTAAATGTGAGATAGAAAACATATTTCCTATGTTATGCAACCATGGATTAGTTAGCCTGTTATTTCAACATATTTGTGTGTGGATTAAAATGCAATACCATGATATTGTATATGAGTTGAGATTTCCATATTTATTTCATTACTTGTATATCGTGTTATACAAATGTACATGCATCTCAAATAAGCATGGGGATGATGTTGAAATGAAAAGGGAAGTGAAAATATTTCACTAAATGGTTTTGAAAACCGGATAACAAGGAGGTACCTTGTATCTGTGAATTTGGAAAAGGGATTTGAATCAATGATTTGAAAACCGAATAAGGAGTTGCCTTGTCTGTGTAGTTAATGGGAATCTAGAGGAGACGTAGGGAGTGGCTCTGCGCGTAGTTGTGTCACTAGAGCCCCAAATGATCACAAGGAGTGGCCTTGTATCAGGGATAGATGACCAACTCTCTTCTCGTGGTACTGGGGAGCAGCCCTGGGCGGATTACATTAACTTGTTTTGTAATGGAAATGGGATTTTTGGGAAGTGAGAAGTGTCAGTGGCATTAGCATTGGCATTGGCATTGCATGACACTTCATTTTATTATCTCATATTATATTCTGTTTTTCCCGAGCTTGTATGATCCCATTACCCTTTGTCTATTCTTTGTCTGAATTCACGGAGGTATTAAGGAGTGCGTTTTAAGTAACTCCCGCTGAGCTGTGGTTGCTCATTCCTATTTTATACACATATTTTCAGGTCATGGCATGGATGGTGTGGAGGGTGTTCTTCCTCAGCTGTAGACAGAGTCGGGGCTGGTGTTGTTGTGTTTTGTTCCGCATAATAGACTATGTTTTGGTTTATATTTCTTTAGAGTATTCCTGGCATGTAATAAATGTTATTTCAAACTTTAAAACTTTAAAGTTGTAATATGTGCGTCTTACCTATTTACTTTCAGTCTTGGTTTTGTAAAAAAGGAATTAGATAGGTGGATGTGTGGTTGAGACAAGTTACAGGGATATT